TTACTCTAATGAAATTATTACCTGGAAGAAATGGTCATTCTGAGGACTTCTCTGTGACATCTAATGCCTCTTGGTCTTTCCTGGACCAGGATGTTTTTTATGTTTTTGACGGTGTTGGTACCTCTCAGTAAATAGGGAGAAAAGCTTATTAAAGGAAACTATGTACTCCCCATGGTGCTTCATGATGGAGAGTCCATGATTTAGTAAAGAATTACCTTCTCTTCACTGCAATTCAAAGACCCAGCCTGCATGTAGTTCCAGATGATTTGGACTATAGGAAGGATATTAATCACTGCTGATCTGATAAGAATACTGAGAATCATGGGACTCTAAGAGAAATGACAGAATTATAGTTGGCAATAAATTTGAAGGAAACTTTGTTTCTGGAAACCTTATAAAATGTTTGGACCATTCAAAGGAGCTCTAAGTCAGTTCATGTGTATATAAGAACCCCAAAACACAGTCAGGATAAGACTTCCAAGAGTGTTGGTATATGCTTGTGAGCATCTGCTCATTTGCTGAGGATGAGAGAATGAAATATATGCAACAGTAATTTATTTTGAACAACAAATCTGAAAGCTATTATGCATCTTAAGAGATTTAGCGGTAAAAATAAAATGCTTAACTAGTTAATCAGATGCTATAAAACACATGAAAAGGACAAAAAAGGTACAATCAAACATTGTAAAAAATATTACAAAATGCACAGCTCATCAGAATAATATTGTTAAATTTTAATATCTAAGAGTAAAATAGGAATGTGATATGTATTATTTAGGTTTTTATGAGAAAAATATGTCTCAACAATGGAAAACTATTCCTCAAAGATGATGTTGTCCTCATTGGTAAATCATTCAAAAGTTAATAACAGCTAATGGTCAGTTTCACTCTCGGTTGTCTACTTAAAGTTGGTACAGATAATTGAAAATCACATGCAACTGCTGCATGCTATCGTCATTAGGGAATGTTGAAGTGTCACTTTTCTGCAGAGGACACATCCTAATCTGATATCAGAGTGTGCTACACTTCCCCTGGACTTGCACATCTCCACCATCATCACTGTCATTTCCACTTAACAATAAAATGGTGCCATGCACAGCCAGGGTAATAGTTGCAGGCTCATCTAACACCAGTTCAGGTGCACAGTCACTTTCTTACATCGGTCACGAGGTCAGATGTACAGTCCTAGGAATAGGGAATAATTAGCATCAGGGAAGGACAAATGATTTAATCCCTGGGATTTCTCAGAAACTCTGAGGAGCTGTCCTGTTGGCCACTGCACTCTGGGTCATCTCCTCGGGGGACCATGAATAGGGATCAGTTCCATGAAGGTGGAACTGATGCGGAGTTTTCCCTGCTCCAACTTCATGGGTCATCCTAAGAGATTTTGATCACTGGGTCAGAACAGCCTACTAAAAGATGCTTTTTTATTTTCATTATATAAGCAGTACTAGAAGATATAGAAAACTGCCTCTCAGTGTATTCCCAAATCACCGGACTGTTAGAACCTTTCCAAATTTGTCAGACCTCTGGATTTTCAAGGGATCCAGGTCATTCTCCTGTGCCATGTTCACATTAACATTTGCTTCATCCTGCTCAGCAGGTCCAATTAGCATGATATCATTAGTGACAGGGAGTATGAAGTTCTATATGCTATCCAGATAATTGAGGTACCGGAAAAGTGTATTTTTCAGAGAGCATGAGAATTGAGATTATCCTGAGGTAAGCAAAGGTAGCTCAATGGCTTTCAAAGTCTAGAGAGCCAAAATGATCTGGTTGTCATTGTTGAAGGAGCTGCAATTAAAGCACAGTGCTAAAGAAATACTGCATGCCATTTGCCAGAGGCTCTTTATCTGACCCAGCAAAATCACACATCTGTAATCACAACTGGGATTAATGTCATCATCCAATTAAATGTTTATTCCTCTTTCTTTAGCCCTCTTGCTGTGTTGAACCAGACCTTCAGGCAGTCATACAGGGCTATTTCAGGAAGTTCCTACACCTCTCATTTCCTTGGCAGTGAATTCTTCTGGCCTTCATGGGTGTAATAGTTCCTTCAATTTACTACCATCAGAATGAAGGTTGAACAGAGCACTTCTATTTTTATCCCCATTAATGTAATAACTCATCCTACAGTTGAGAGAACTAATGTGACGATCCCACATATTATTAAATATATCTGTTCGCACTGCATATTACAAAGTCTGGACAACAACCACTGTATTTACCAAAACCAGACAGCTGACCAGTTTGGCCCATAAACTGACATCTTACAAATGTTTGCCACAACTGTTCTTCAATTCAATCTTACTGATTTAAATAAATCAATTAGTTAACTAATGAACTATCCATGCCGCCATATGTCAGGAGCCATTCTAAATAGTTTTGGAGAAAAATCATTTCACAATTAATTTATGATTAGGCCTAAGTCTTCTTGCCTACAGGCCAGCTGTAATGTGCCAAAACATAACTCCATTTTTGCTTCTGATCACAGCAGAGACCTCAATGGTCCCATGATGCTGTGACACTCAAGGGTGAGATTACATCATATGAAGACATTTTGGTTCCTTGAGAACCTAGTAGTAGGAGAAAAGTTTCACCTGCAGAGGGACAAATTCCTTATCTGCTTAACTCATCCCACTTACAATTGTAAGAACTTTCTTTCTCATCTTACTGTCCTAGTCAACATGAGATCATCAATGACCTAAGATCTTCATCAGCATAAGTTCCTCATGGTCATAAGATTACTGCCTCTCTCCAAGACATCTGATACTTCTTCCAATTATAAGATCCTGTCACTTAAGATTATCATTACCCTCTGAGTCATCTCATATTCCTTATGAATCCTATAAATAGTGGCAAACTCAGAGTGCCTTTTTCTTTGTTGCCCAGAGCAGGCCCCAAACTCAGCTTTATCTCTAAGTCTCATTTCCTATCTTTATTCTTTAATTCACCTTGTGTTTTCATGGATCACAGGAAGCAGGAACCTGTTGCAGGGGTTCTCGTAACATCTCCTTCCCCTATTCCCTACAACCATAGGCTAAGTAGACTAAAGTAAATTCTTACTCTTTGATGAATATATTTATATATTTTTAGGCCTATCACTCTGATATGCTCAGAAGCTACTATATAATACCTTCCCCAGACTCCTTTCCACATGTTTGGAAAATATTCTACAGATTTTTTATTGTCTAGAATGCTTTGTCCTGTAGGAGTCCTTTCCCTTCTCCATCTGGTCTCCTCTGACATTGCTATGGGTGTGGGAGCCCAGGGAGTGAAAGAAAGAGGCCACTGTTCACACTCTGTTCCTTCATTCATTCGCATGTGACAATTTTTTAGATGATTTAGGAGTTACCATTCCTAGTCTTGAGTCTACCTGCTGAGATCTGCATTCCTTGACTCAGTAGCACACTTTCTACCTCAACTTCTCCTTCTTTAGTAGAAGAGTCCCAGATAATCACATGTAATAGTGCTAAGTCTCTGTGACAACTGCAGTTGGGAACTGAATTTGATGTTTAGCCCTGAAGCTATAGAAGTTTGAGGCCACCTTTGAAACTGCCTAATGACTCTGAGTTTTCTGCATTCACCTCAGGCTGAGTGTGCGTTAGTGTCTTCCAATGGACCTGTTTCTCTCTGTATATTCTGCAAGGTGCCTCTGCCTTGGATTACCCTTATTACTCTGGCTACAGCCGCTCAACCACAGTCACTTGTTGTTCAAGTGCCTTGTCTCCCACCTGTCCTTATGATGCCACCATATACTACAACTAATCATGTCCCATTTCCCCTGGGAAGGAGAGCATAGTGCCTTCATGTGAGACATTCAATACCAGAATTTTACTCAGGTCTTTTTTGTGTGGCCAGTCCCAATGATAGCTTCTGAATAAATAAAGTATTTGTGCTCTCAGGAAAGGAATTGAAGAGCTTCAATAGGATTTGATGAAATGATTAATTTATGGTGCTGTTCATTGGCTTATATTGCCAATCAATCTTAGATAATAAAGCCCGAAGTGTTTTCAGCAAGAGAGAAGACATCATGGCGCCAGGTTTAAAAAAGTAAGGCCTTGGAACATTTGCTAACTACAGAAACTAATGGCTGTAGGAGACAGCTGACTAGCAGAGGTTGTGCCTTTGGCAGGGGAATGCAGACAAAGCTGAGATGCAGCTGGCAAAGAAGAGCCAGGGGATCCTGCTTCTTTCTCTTCCTGCTATCTGATGATGATTATGTTATGCATTGAGTGACATCATTCAGAAGACAGAAGACAAAGAAGCCAGGCTAAATGCAACCATTGATGTAGTTTCTGCCACAGAGCGCAGGGGAAAGAGTTTATAGTAGAACCAAAGGGGCAAAGACAGACTATCAACTAGTCTTATATCATGGCTAAAAATTTTATCTTCTACTAGTCTCAATTTCTTTATATGCAAAAAAACTTCCATTATTTACTTAAAGAAGCAGTAATAAATCCTTGCTCCATGTCAGGCATTCACTAATTTATAGTTGCTTAAGTTATTACTTTGAGCTTTATGAAAAACAATAGACAAATAAAAGTATTTAAATAACATTATTTGATGAATAAAATATTTGGAGTATGCAACATGTTTTATATATTCTCTATAGACTAGTATCAAAATATCATATTATTTATATTGAAAACAATAATTTTTAATGATGATGAATTATAGGTGTTCAATAAATAGTAGTTTCTATTTTTATTATTTGGAACTCTACAACAAAAAAATTAAGAAGTCTTTTTCTAGGAGCAGTATTTTCTAATAAGTAAAATGCTTATTATATATACACATATTATCACTAGATAATTCTAACTTATAATCTGTAGAACTTGAAATACGGATTAATTTTAAAGTAATTAAAAAATACAGTCATTGGGACATCCAAAAATCACTATTACTTATTATCAATTGTAGCAAACACTCATGCCATAAAGAAAAAAATCTCATGAATGAACATTTCAATATGAATAGTGAGCAGTGATACACAGGTAACTCCACAATGATTGTCTAAACTGAGCTACACATTTAAAGATAAGAATGTCAAGAATATTTCTTAAGTTCTTTCAGCTTTCCTACTGAACCTGTAGTATTTAGATCTGCTGGACTTGTGTGATCAGTCAGCTATCTTCCTTGTTTTTACCCTTCCATGTGTGTTACTCCCCATGTCTAGGCAGAGTGTCTGCTGTTGCTCTCACACTGAGTCCTCTCAGACTCCTGCTGATATTTGCTCTCCCCATTTGGTCCAATGTGGGTTCAGACGTTCAATTTATCCCAGACATGGACATTCCTAGGTGGAAGGGAAAAAGAGGAAACTTTTACCAAATTATTGCCACTGCTCTTTAGAAGAGCTTCACAAAATTAATTTCTGGTTATCTGAGGCTATTTACAGCTCCAGAAAATTAATCCAGTGGGAAGAGAATTTTTTGAGTCATTTTAGTTGCCTTATGTAATCTATAGGGCTAAGTAAAACCTATGCTCTAGCTCTATCAAAAGTTGAAAGAATTTGAAATTAGTGGACAACGATTTTCCTGGTATTACTATACTCCTGAGAGGAAACTTACCACACAGTCACAGTTCCCAAATATAACCTCATAAGAGGTCTTGTAACCCCACCCACATGGCTTAACTCATAATCTGCCCTGTCATCACTGCTATTTTGAGTCTTGATCTCTACAGGCTCAGAAGGTCTCAGCTCTAATCTTCTCATTGTGATCAAGGTATTCCAATAAATCATCTCTTGACAAGTATGTGCAGACACTGCCCTTATAACTGGGGAATCACACAGAGCCCTCACTTCCTCAAGACCAAAAAGAGAAAGACCACTTCCTCTTGCTGGATAGGGTACATTGGATTGTATGGAAAGGAAGTAGCTGGCTCAGTTTGATTTGGACAGCCCTGTTTTCTTCCAATTCAGGGTTCCATGTGTCCTGAGGAAGGTGGAACAAGAAGTGAAATCCTTTAAGTCACACAGAAAGCAAATTTTGCCTTGCTGCTCTCACTAAGCCAAAGTTCCTCACCCTACCACTTGTTCAGACCTCTTTCCTGCTGACCCTACACCATTTATCCATGGAGAATTCAAACTCTAGTGTCCATCTATCTCTGGCAGAGCAAGAAACAAACTGAAGGCATCTGATTCTTCTGAAGTGTTTGGAATAAAACAAATAGAACAAATTCACAGAGATCCACTAGTTCTTAAGGATATACAATCTAAAGAGGCAATCTGTCAGATTCTGAGGCCAGTTCAAAACCACCTCCAAATCCCATATTTGTGTCAGGGCTGTAGCTTCTTCTATTATTCCTAGTCACATTGCTTCTATTTGTGTCTCACTCCCTTCTCACAAGATGTGCTGACTTCCTGTTGTGTGTGCTAACTTCCTGTTGTGTGTGCTGACTTCCTGTTCCCTCAAATAAGCACCGATGACCATACCTTTGATTTGTAGATGCCCTACAGTCCTCGCATTCCAGCTAGCATTTCAGTGTATTTCTATCATGAACTGTCTTATGAATATGTCTTGCCTCATATTTATGAAGAAAGATTTCTAGCATCTTGTTCTGCCAGCTGCCTCATGGTTCCCTATCTCCCCTCCCATCCTGGTGCTGGCCTGCATGTGACCCAGCTTGCAGTTCAAATGAAATCATCTCTAGGGTGGGAATTAGTACAAAACATGAGTCAAAACAATGAGTGGCTCTTCACAATTGCAGAGCCACGGCAGGCCACTGTGATCAGAACAGCTCGGCCTGTGCTATTTGTTTGCACGCGAAGGCCTTGGTACATCTGCTAGAACTTTGTCACTCTTCTGCTGAACAGGCATCCTGCCAGTTGTCGTCCCTTATCTCTACTTGAATACCTCTCAATTCTGTTTCCATTGCACTCCGGTTACTGCATATTCTTAGACATCACATCTGTCTCTTAACTTTTTAATCTGGTGGTGATATTGTCAATTTTTCTGCTTCATTTTTCGTATTATTTCCTTCAGTTTCTCCACGGATGTTTTGGCATTACATTTCCTCTTCCCTCCATTATGACTTGTGTATATCATTCTCCTATATCTGTCTCTCAGCCCTGAAGTATGAGTTTCTTCTCCAGTGTTTTGCATTTGCTCTTTTGGTCTCTACGCCATGAATTCTTCCACTGTGATTTCATACACAAAAGCCCTGCATGGTTTTCTATGTTCAGATGACACCAATATATTAAATTTTTATACATATTTTCTTAGTTTCTGCAGCAGAACATTTCCGACAATTCAAATCAAATTGCCACCAGTGAATTTTCCACCAAGATAAGGGAGAATTGGACTTTAATATACTTAATATTGAATCATGGTAGAAATCCATCTGTCTGCCTCATTACATAACCCACTTTTCTATTTCTACTACGACAAAGTATTTCTCTAGTCATATTGTGAAAAATCTTTCCACATATTTGAACCTTCATGTACATCTCAATTGACCCTCAAGTCTTTCTAGTTGCCATGCACAAGTAGTTAAGTCATTTAGTCACAGGACTCATTGGTATTACAAGGTTTCATGAAGAATATGTCAAAAGAATTAAGTATTAAACATTTTTTAAAAGGAAATAATTGCCTGAACAGTTAACCTTTCTAATCTCTGTCAATTATCATTCAGAAGCTGGTAGGTTGCTCTGATGAATCCACTCAAAGATTGCTGATTACCAAGTTGTTTATTTTTTCCATCCCTGCTTGTTTTTTTCTGTATAGACAATGCTGTATACATAATTATATGGGTAAAAAAGGATATGTCATCATAAAATGGAAACTTGCAATGGAGGAAATGAAAGTACTTAAGAGAGAATATCCAGCAATACCCTCAATGAAAACTAAAGTAACAGTATATATACAGGAACAACTTTTTTTTCCTCTTGAAATGATGAAGGAACCTAGAAATCCTATACATGCCTGTAATCCCAGCACTTGGTAAGCTGAGTCAGAAAGATCGTGAATTTGAGGCTAGCCTAGACTCCATAGGCAGACCCCATCATAAAGATTGTTAGATACATAGACAGATAGATAGATAGATAGATAGATAGATAGATAGATAGACACAGAAAAATACAAGAATGCCATGGACCCTTCACACAGAAAATTTCAGACCAAAAAGAAATGCCAGTATCAATGTATGAATGACTGGAATCAGGATGAAAAAACATACATGATAAATGTTACATAAACAGGGTAACACAACTACGAAACTAATGCAGAAGAGAGTAGAACAGGAGACAGACAATGAATACATTTTCAAAATTTTTGAAACTGGTAAGAGAGAAATGTTGTATCTCTCCTACCACCAGTGACTTGGGAAAGTCCCTATTTTGACAAATGGTAGATTTAAGGAAAGGGAGATTTCTTATTAGTTTAATTAACCACAACTTATTTTCACCCTGTCCATCTCTTTCATTTATATTGGCCTCAAGTGAACTACTAAGAATGAGAGGCTCAAACAACTCCTTTTCCAACATCAGAAAGTTTCTCTTTCAGCAAACCAATCCCTCTCTTATTCAAAATGCATGGCACATCCCACCAACTGGAAATAAGATATTTTTGTGTTCTTCATTTGTTTTCTCTATACTTTCTTTCCTAGAGCCATTTTCTACAAAACTTGACACGGTATCAGGTTTAAGTCAAGCTAGACCTTATCAGAATGAAGACTTTATTCATGATTCTGTCAGTAGTGACTTTCCAATGAGCAGGTTTTTTCTGCACTGTTAGCCATAATCAGTTCCTACCTCCTCAGCTCTGGCATTGCACTGAGATTGGGTATGTCTCTATTTTTGTCTCCAAAGATTTGCTTTGTTCATTTGCCATGTGGTTGAATGGCTGTAGTTCCATCTTTTGTTATTTTCTGGTCTTGGGCAAATGTCTTCATTTTCCTGGGTCCTAGTTTCAACATTTCCTAAAGCTTCCCACCTTACCCTTTCATGAAAGCAAAATGCTTCAACCAGATCTACAAGGGACCAAAGTTCCTTTCTTCTAAGTCTTTAATTTCTTCCTCACTTGGGTCATTCAGCCAGCTCAGGCACAATGGCCTCTTGACTGTTCCTTGGACAGATCGTGCGTAACCTGCCTGAGGCCTACCCCGTTTGTTCCCCACTGCCTCTGTTAGCCAGTTGCCACAGCAGACTAACTGCCCTGTATAGTCTCTGCTCTGCACTCTCCTGTCAAGGAGCCTCTCCTCACCATCTTCATTATCATTTCTCTCCCACTCAACCTTTGCGATCCCTGTTCCATTCCCCCTGCCTTAGATTATTTTCCTTTTTCACAACATTAACATTATTCTTCATATTCTATACGTATCCAGTTGAAGATCATTGAGTCCTAGCTGTATACTTATTGATATTTCTAAAAATAAATATTTTACTCACAGTTGTGCAGAAATAAAGCAAGAAAACTGATGCACATTTCTTAATAAATGGAAGTTGATTAAGTGTTATTTAATGTAGGTCCTCATACTTGAACAAATGTTATAAAGCTGGCGAACATGGACTATGTGTCAGCTGCCTCCTTTCTTTAGTTATTTCAACATAGGTGAGATAGTTAAGTGTTTGCTATTTTGGAAAAATGAAAGAGAAAGAACTGCACTGCATAATCAAAGCGTGTGGTGAATTCTTAAATTACAAAAGCTATCATTGTAAATGACACATTCCAATTAATGCCCCTCAGTGTAGCCCCCCTGGCTTGGACTACTCTTATCCAAACATTCTTGCCACTTTCTGAGAATTTCTGTAAGTCTTTCCCGAGTGTCTTCAGTGGTGCTGTTGCCATCACAGCTGACTTGATGCCCTGAATGGTTTCAATAAATTTAACTTTCATCGTCACTGCAACTTTGGGGGAAGAAGTTGAGGTTGGACTCAGATTCATGGAGGTGAATGAGAACCCAGTGTCAAGGATTTTGTTGTTGTTGTTTTGTTTGTGGTACCAGGAGTCGAACTCAGGGCCAACCAGTTGCCAGGCAGGCACTATACCACTGAGCTATGTCCTTGGCCCTCCAGTTTTTATTTGACAGAAATTGCAGTGAAACTTTTGAATAGATTGAGAACATCAAGATAGGCCCCAATAGAAAGCTCATGGGAGCAGTCATCCAAAACTGCTTCCTGAAGTGGGCAAATGCTGTATGTTCCAAAAGAAAGGCTTATTAGTGACAGTGTCTTTTATAATCTTAAATTTTAATACATTTTTAAAATTTTATTTAAACTTTGCTCTATTTTCTTATCACCTCTTGTGGCATCTATTCCCAAGGTTTCAAAAGTGACCAGGAAGATAAAACAGAGGTCATTTTTATTTTTCTTTACTTTGTGATGTATTCATTCTTCTTTTTTTTTTTTTTTTTTAAGAATAGGATGACTTCATGTAACTGTCCTACCTTTCTCTTGTATTTTAGTTTATAGGCAAATTTAGAGACTGAGAATTGTTCATGGTTCTCTGGGAAAAAATGTGACTGTGGAGAGACTGGAAACTCAGGAAGGAGTTTATATGAAAAAGTAAGGAAGGTGGTTGGACAACCTACATGGCCATGTGACCAGTTCTGCCCCCCGCCAGACAAGGATTCATCTAAAACAGAAAATCATAGACCAATCTCTAAGGAATATAGATAGAAAACTTCTCAACAAAATACTGGTAAAAAGAATGCAACAAACAACCAAAAAGATCATACATCATTTTCAAATAGGTTTCATCTCAAGGATGCAAGAGTGGCTCAATATATCCAAATCAATAAATGTAATATATCATATAAACAGAACCAAGGACAAAAATCATATTATCATTCCAATGGATGCAGAAAAAGCCTTTTACAAAATCCAACATAGTTTTCATGATAAAATCACTGAAGAACATGGGTCTAGAATTACCTTATCTCAATCTGATAAAAGCCATTTATCACAAACCTACTGCCAACATCATATGAACTGGGGAAAAACTGACAGCTTCCCCTCCACTATCAGAAACAAGACAAAGATGTCCACTATTCAATATAGTACTTGAAACATTTGCAAGAGGAATTAGGCAAAGAGAAATAAAAGTTAAACAGATAGGAAAAGAAGACATCAAATTGTCAATCTGAAGACAACATGATTCTCTGAATAGCACATCAAAAAATTTCACCCGGACCAAGGATTTAGCTTAGTGGCGCCACTGCCTGCCTTGCAAGCACAAGGACCTGAGTGTGATCCCTGGTACCAAAACAAAACAATTCCAGCCAAAACTCCTAGAATTAATAACCCAATTTAGCATTGCAAGATACAAAATCAACACAAAAAATAAATAACATTCTTGTATACTAATAATGAAACCACTGAGAAAGAAATTAAGAAAAATACCTTGCAATAGCACTGAGAAAAAATCAAATACTTAAGAATTAGCCTAAATAATGAACTAAAAACCTCTGCAATGAATACTACAGCACTCTGCAAAAGGAGATTGATGAGTACATCAGAAAATGGAAGGATAGCCCCTGTTCTTGGGTAAGTAGAGCCAATATGATCAAATTGGCCATACTTCCAAAATTAATAAATAGATTTAATGAAATCCCAACTAAAGTCCCTATGACATTTTTTACAGAATTAGAGAAAACAGTGCTGAAATTCATATAGAGCCAGAAGAGAATCAGAACAGCCAAAGCAATCCTGGGTTAAAACAGCAAATCAGAAGGCATCGTTGTCCAAATTGAAGTTATATTACAAAGCTACTGTGATAAAACCGCATGTTACTAGAAAATAAGAAAGAAAGAAAGGTGGGGGGAGAAAGAAAGAAAGAAAGAGAGAAAGAGAGAGATCAATGAAACAGAGAATGCAGAAAAACTCCCAAGCACATTCTACTATTTGATGTTTGACAAAGCAGTCAAAAACATACCCTAAAGAGAAAATAGCCTCCTCATGAAACCACGTTGTGAATACTGCCTATGCACAACAGAAGACTGACTCTAGACCCATGGCATTTGCCAAGTGCTAGCCAAAAATCAAAACAGTTCAAAGGCCTAAATGTCAAAATAGAAACAAATTCACGGATGACAAAATAGGTAAGATTCTTGAAATCATGGGGGTAGGCATGGACTTTTTGAATTGAACCCCGGTTACACAGGGAATAATACTAAGAATACACAAGTGGAATCCAATCAAATTAAAAAGCTTCAGCACAGCCGAAGAAACAAATGCTAGAGTGAAGATACAATCTACAGAAGAGGGAAAATCTTTGCAAGCTATTCCTCAGATAGAAAAAAAATGCATAAAATACATAAAGAACTCAAAAAAATTTGTCCCAGGAAAATAAAAGACACAATAAAAATGGGGCTAGAGAAATGAAGAGAGACTTTACAGAGGAAGCAGTACAAATAGCCAATAAATACATGAAGATAATGTTCAAAGTGGCTGGCCATTGGAACAAGGTAAATTCAAAAAAGCACTGAGATTTTAAAGAATGGCCATCACTAAGAAATCACATAATAACAAGTACTGGAGGGGCTGTGGGGGAGAAGAAATCCTTCAAAAGTGTTAGTGTGAAAGTAAACTAGTACTATGGAAATCAGTCCAAAGATTCCTCAAAAATTTGAAACTAGAAATTCCATCTGACCTTGCTTTTCCCTTCTAGATATTTTCCCAAAACTGTTAAAGTCATCATGTTACAGTGACCCATGCCTACCCATGTTGACAGCAGCAAAACTCAGCATAGATAAAACTTGCAAAAGGCTTATGTGTCCATCAACAGATGAATGAATAAAGAAAGTGTGGTAATCATACTCAAAGAAAGACAAATTCAAGTCATTTGTACAAAAATGGATGCTTCTTGGGACCATATATTAAGTGAAACACAGCTACACAAGAGAAATGCAAAAGATGAAGAGCAAAATAAAAGATGGACAATAGAAAGTCTGAAAGTACATTATCTCCAAAGTGGGAGAGGATCTAGAGATGGAGGGACAGGGGAAGAAGGGGAGGAAAAGGGGTTGAAAAGAGGAACGAAGAGGTGCTGCATACATGAACCTGCTCCGCACAAGCAACATAAATGTTACATACTGCAAAGATGAATGAATGAAGGAAGGGAATGAAGGGGTGGCTGGAGAGGGAAGGAGGGAGGGGTAAGGGGATGAAGAAAGGAATCAAGATGTGTTATGTACATGTACCAACTGCCTACAAGGAATCTAAACATGATTAGTGCAAAAGTATACTTAAAACTTCACAAGAAAATTTCTGACCCTGTACATATGAGAGAATCAGTTCCACCAGAACAAAGGAATTGGGGTTTGGCATCAAATCCACCCTGGAAAACAAAGGTAAGGCACTTTCATTGTTGCTTAGCGGTTAGGTTGTTCTATACTTGCCATTGTTCTCTTGTTGCACTGAAAAATAGAGCATATAGACATAGCATTTGAAAAATCATTTGCAGAAATACACTTTCAAAATTTAATACAATATTCTCTGTAAATACTATTTCAAAGCTAAGTCAGTAGTGTAGACAGTCTGGGCCTGTGTAGTTCTGCAACTGTATTTAACTTATTCTGGATAAGGAGATGTGAGGTAAAGACTTTGAAGACACCAAACAACTCTACCTAGTGATTGGCTAACTAGATGGTGTTAGCAAAGAATAAGGAAGAAAAGAAATAGGAATTATGGGCAGCTATGTTAGGCCCATTTTTATGTTGGGAGCATATAAACAGGTGGCCACACACAATTAATTTTGTTTATATTTTCCCAGTTCTACAAACCAATTTATAGTGCTGCATATTCTGATATTCTGCTCAGCTCCAAATTCCTCTCAAGATTGTTTCCCACATCATAATTATTTTTATAATCTATTTTAGACATTTTTTTACCCTTAAATCATGCTTGCACGGAGATGTAATATAAGTGAAAAATGGTAGAATATAAAGCATAGGAAACATAAAAATTACTACCTTTCAAGGCTTTGAAGAAGAAAATGATTAATTGGATGTTGATCTTATCACAAAGTAAATGCTAACTATCTTTACTTTAAAAAATGTACACACTGGATATGGAAATAAATTTTGATTACAAATGCTTTTCATTAAAATGTTGTTTTAAACAAATGACCTCTACAAATCTTTACGTTCCTATATTTATTTCAAACACCATCTAGAAAGGATTCCATTTCTCTGCTACAAGTGTTTGTCTTAAAATTTTTATGCAACTACAATCAAGACTATGAGTGAACACTTTGCTTATGAAATAGAAAAAAATAGCATTAACGTCATGCTATGACATCATAAAACACTGCAGGGTGTATTCCCACCTGTCTACTTTTGAACGTTTGAAGTTCTATGAACACTGATTCGAGCAATAAGTCCTGAATCTCAGTTCGTGGCTAAATAACTCAGAGCTTTGATAAGTTTATTCTCCCGGTACAAGTCTATTAAAGGTAATATGCATCGAGGCTATTTTCTTGAATGTAAGGGTCCAGCATTCCTTCATTCAAAGAAAAGAAGGAACTGACTTTTAAGTAATGGTTTTGTTTCTGAGGTGAGAATCTGCAAACAGTTCATGGTAACTCAGGCGGCCCTATTTCAGTGATCTACTCATAATGGTCCTGAGTAGTGTTCCTCTCCGCATGGAGTCCCCTCGTGTGGTTCAGTATCAGCGTGAGGAGCATTGTCACACCTGGAATCCCAGAAACCCACCCTAGTCCACTGTGGAACTTACCACGGAGGCAGCAAATTCTTCCAGACTCTAAGTTTTCTCTGATACAGGCAGAAGACACCACGTAACCTTCGACTCACAAAGGACCTGTTCCATGTGTCTTCAGGGACTCTCCACAGAAGGGCAGTCCCAATGCTACCAGTTATCAAGCTGCTGCCGGAGAAACACAGAGCAATGCCCCTGTGTGGAGGGCATTAGAACTAGAGTCAAACGAGAAATAATTACAAACAATAGCAAAAGTGCTATGTCCTAAAACGCAATGCCACTTACTTGAAGCACCAGTTGAACTTTAATACTAAATGCAATCAATAAAATTTTTGAAAAGAAGTACCTCCGAGTTCAGGGTGTTTGTACATTTTTATTAGCAGATTTATTTTCCTCTTCACACCTACCACTTATAAGGACAACAAGGATGAAAATATCAAGCACGTTGCTTTTCCGACGATTTTAAATTTTTGAATTATTCAGAGCGACAAAAATGCAAAAAGCATAGCCAACAATACAACATTGTTAATTAAAAACCAGTAACTTTCCAGAGGGCATTAGTCACACCGCATGTTCTCTTTGGAAACAGTTTACTCATATCGTAAGCTGAAAACATAAAACTGATTAACTATGCTTGTTATTATGTGTTAATTCAGCCATGCATCACTAACTTCATCACATAAATAAGAAATCACATTTATTTGCTATCACTACAGAAAAGTCCTCTACTATGGGATCGTTTCCTTAAACCCACGAAGAGTACTTTTCCTAATCTTGGGTCGTGGCAGCCGAGGTGACTTCCCTTTCTTTTTTACTAAGCTTTCGTATAAGCTATCAAACATTATAGCCTTTACCTTAGGCGTGCTTCATCAAATGTGTTCACCTGTCTCCATCTGGCTCTTGACTTACGCAGGATGCTGTGAGTTAACCGCAGTTCTGGTCCCTCTGACGGATCTGCAAGCCTCAAGCCGGCGCGGAGAGGGCTGGGCAGGCACAAAAGGCTTCAAATAGCAGCGCGCCTCTCTGCAGTGCCATAGCCGCAGAATGTATACGTGCGCGCCGCCAGCAGTCTGGAACTTGACACCGTGTTACGCAAGCATAGGAAATGCTGAAATGTGTCTTTCTGTGAACAACAAAAAGGCAGCAAACGGCAGATAGCAATGAGGTCGCTGCAATGTCACCCTCAGTGCAGCTGAGTCTTGAGTCCTGCTTTCAGGCATCATTAGGTGCTGATGTTTTCTTTTCTATGTATGTACACGTGTACACTCTGGAGTATACCTATCTGTACATATATCTGTACATATGTTCCATATATGTATAGATATGTGCATATGCATATATTTATATAACATTATAAGCATATTTTTTCTGCCAAATCAATGCCTTTTGACTTGTCAAGAGAGAAATGTGTCTATTGTCCTGCACACATTTGCTCTGAGTTTGATGATTCCGCTGACAAGAATAATTGCTTGCCACCTACTGTTTCTGGAAGCAAAATGTGGAGGTCAGGAAAAACAAGCGCCAGTTCCAGGGGTTTTGTTGACTTGTTTCTTTCCTGTCTTTGTAGCCTAACCACTGAACTTTTCCAATGTGTCACGAGCTGCCAGCCACCACCTCTCCTGCCAAGGCTGACTGACACACTCCTGCATGCACACCGCCAGCTCACTGTGCCCTGTCCAGGCACACGATGAGGACCTGCATTATCAGAAAATAAAACACAGTATGTTTCTCCAGGATCATAGCAATCACCGGCCCCACTGTGCAACAGTGCTTTGTGCTCAATAGAAAGCTGTCAGATTTATCTGCAAATTAATTTTATTCTTTATGTGCTTACAATATTCATTTAATAGGTGATAACTCTGAATAAGCCTAACTACGCTTAGTTCCTGAAATGTTTGGTTTTGGTCAGTTCTTTGTATTTACCTCTTACATTTTAGAAAGTGTGATTATTGCAGTCATTTTCCTGTTAACTATCAACACTTTAATTGAGAAATATTGTAAATCAAACGTTTGCAAATATCTCTAAGTTTTTGTCATAGAACACAGATGATTAAAAGCCCTTCTTTGGAACATAGTGGTTTTGTACCTTGGGGCATAGTTAATAAACATCAATTATTCCTAAAACATAAACTGAATTAGACAAAACAAATTTGAAATATATTGAAATACAAAGAAAGAGTTCTCTTCAGAAGAAATTTGAGTTTTATTAAAATTTTCAAAACATCTACAAAATATTTAGAGGGATGTGTTACATAATTACAATTACATAAATAATTTCAGTAAATTACCTTCACCTGCACTGTGAGTTCAATATGATCATTCTGAGGATCTAGTCACTGAGATTTTTTAATTGTCATTTTGTATATTCTTATATTCTCTGATACATTGAAAGGAGATTAAACTTAACCAAGCCAGGATAAATCACATAACTCATAGCTACAATAAAGTAGGGAAAATATTCAGTTATAGTGAAAACTAATAACAGAGCGATAATTATTTTATTATTACAAAGACCTTTCTGAAATATAGTTCTGTTTCCTTACAGGGAGACTTAAGTTATAATTTGAAAATTACTTTGATTTTTGAATTGTTGTAGGTGCTACTCTTAATAGTCAAGTGTTTTACAATTGAACAAAAAAGGAAACTAAAAACTGCATTAAGTGATCTGCATAAGGTTTGAAATCATTTCTTCTCAGCATCAGGGAGATTTTCTCAGCAACCCAAGTCAGCCCATCCAGTATGCATTACTTAATTCATATGAAAGGCCTTTCTGATAAGAAAATATGGTAAGAGTTCTGACTCTAGAAACATAATGGTGGAAAGTTCCAGTCAACTCCAACCTTCAGTTTTCTCCCTTTGTGTACCAAGAAATGGTATGACTCTCCAAGTCATAATGGGAGGTATACGTGTTCAGATGATGAGGGAACAGCTACCTTTGATTGTGGGGTATATGTAAATAAAAACCCACATTCACAGTTCACAAACTGGAGTTCTTTACCACATGGAAGTAAAAAAAAAAAAAAAAAAAAAAAAAAAGAGAATGAGGCACACCAAACTAACAGCTTGGTTAAATCAGCTACTTCCTTTATCGTCATTTGTTCAGCATTTTACCACCCAAAGATAGACAGTGTTATAGTCAGCATTTGCAAGGGAATCGATTTAACACAAGTGACATAAATTTATAGGCTTATTTTATAATATTTACCTGAAATATCAAATGTAGAAGAGTGCAAGAGATTAGTCAGTGCACCAGAGACCTGAAGAATTCAGCTGTGGGCCTGGCGCTCATGGTGATGTCTCATGCGAGTCCGTATCAAGGATCTAATCCAGAAAGGCCCAAGGGTCAGTGGAGGAAGCTAGAAAGTCTGCGCCATGGGGTGAAGGGTCTGTGCCACCAGGTGAGGGATCTGCACTGGAGCCAGGACACGACACTCAGAAGGAGGACCAGAGCTCCCTGAAGAGAACAGCAGCCACCCCAAGGACACAAGCTCCCCCGTGGTGGGGACAGCTAAGTTCATACAGGAACCCCAGCCACAATAAAGCTCCTCCTGGGAAATCAGCAGCTTGCAATCTTCCTGGATCCTCCTTTTGTGCATTGGCAATAGTCCTCAGGTGGGCCTTCTACGCCCAGAACCACTCTGACTCAGGTCACCTGGACGCTCATTGGCGATTCATTAATGTAGTACAGATGCCATCTTCAAATGAGAATATTTCCTGTGTCCACTATTTCATATCATTCACATTCTCCCCTGAATTACAGCAGCTTTGACAGTGGTTCCTGCACCACCGTGCTGCTTGCAGTTTGTGATAGATGAGACTCCCTTTGCACCTCCTTGCAGTTTGAATCCATAGCTCTGCCCTATGTAGAACTAGCCACCAATTAAAAAACCGAGATATGTTTGCTGTCGTTGTTGTTGTGAATCAGATGATTGGGCTTATTGAAAATGTCCCTGCTCTTTGTATCCATGGTTGAAGAATAAGCAACTTGCTAAGAGAATTGAACAATAAAGTGAAACAAAATGAACACAGAAACGATTAGGCTTTCTCAATACAGTTAAGTTGACAAGCACTTCACTCTGAGAGATCGACTTTTCAGGATGGAGTTTGTCTGTGAGTGCAATTCCAAAGTTGACTTTGATTTGGGGTCAGCCACTGAGAATATCCAACTCTTATTTCACTACATTTGAATCTTGCTGTCATTTCTCCTGTGATGGGACAGAACCAAGTCTGCACAGATCCTCTGGTGGTAATGCTTCTGAATTTGTTCTACCAAAACCTTTCTTCATCCCGTAGCATCCCCCTTTCTGTGGGCAGACACCGAGCTCCTACCTCGGAGTGGTGTTGTGCTTTGTAACAATCTCCGTTCTTTTCCAGAAGCGTTCTCACGGCTCTCCCATATTTGATCCTCTTTTCTCTGACATCTCTTCTGAGTTCCCCTCTGTTACCCAGGTTTCCATCCACTACCCATCTGGCTTTTGACAAGCAGTCAATGAATTCATTCTGAGCCTCTAATGGTCTGCCCCATGTCCCTGGCTTGACCTTGGATCCTTGTATGTATATTTACAGTTAAGGAGACTCCTGTCTTCATTGAAGCCCGTTTTAGACCTTGAAACCTCACAGAAAAGGACTAATCTCACCAATACCCTTCATTGCTCTTCTCTTGTGTGAGCTCTCGGAATGCCTGATATTTGCCCATTAAGCAAGGCTGAACCACATCTGTAAAAAAATACTGATGGTATCACCCTGACCAATTAAGCTGCAATAAATTTAGAGAAAATGGACAATTCAGTTATTGCACAGCATTTATCAAGAATCCACTATGCGTCAGACACTGTACTGTTGTCTGTTCTAGAGTGAGCATGTTTTATGCTAGAGAAACAGTTCTGCGACCTTTTTCTTCATGTGCTGCTATAATTATGTGGTTGCAGAGTACAAAGACCTTAGAAATTTCAAAGCCTGATTGTTTTATTAGTCAGAGGAAATAAGATTTTGTCATCTGTTAACTGACCTTTATAGCAATAAATTCCATGAGTGAATAAATTGTTCTTTTTCTTTTCATTCTGTATTGCATTGGCAGAAAGAGAATATGGAATAGAAAAGAATTCCATCTCAGAATTTGATATCAGGCACTTTCATTTTTGATGGAGTATGCCTGTAACACCAGCATTTTGGGAGGCTGATGCAGGAAGATTGTAAGTTTGATTCCAGCCTAGGAAACCTAACAATTTAGCAAGACCATGACTTAAAATAAACAGTTTAAGTGTAGCTCAGTACAAAGGCCCTGTGTTCAATGCCCAGTACCACAAAAGCAAAAAAAAAAAAAAAAAAAAAAAAAAAAAAAAAAAAATGTAGATCTGGATATCCCAATATTGTTTAACATAGATTGGCACATTTTTCCTACAAAATTATTTTGTAGCCTAAGCAGAGAATTTTACTCTCCTCATTTGGATATCAGGGAATTACATATTCAGTAAACTTTAATTTAAGAGGCGTTGTTGGGAGGCAAGCTCCTGGCCTCTGGTGTCCAAGCAGAAAATCCTACTGTGCTCTAATAATAACAAAAGAACAATAGAAGACAAAGTTATGTAAGAAAAATATGAACGGTCTAGACAGTCCTCCTGAGAATACTGAAAATTGCTTATGAATAACAGAAACCATTAGAGATTTTGAATGGAGAAAGTTGAAACGGAGGGCACCTTAAAGACGACAACTATGATACATAGTGAGTTCCAGGTCAATCTCAACTACATAGTAAGACTCTGTCTCAAAAAACAGAGAAACAAACAAACAAAACAAAACAAAAAAACGACAACTATGAGAGGTTGTGTTGTTTCAGTTTCACAGTGTTATTGTCAAGGCCTAAGATTATGTCACATGGCCAAGTCTCACAGGCCTGGAATACTCAAAATTCAAACCTAGGTTGTGCAACGCATGAGTGCCTTCTTCCCTAAAGCTTAAGATGAGGGAGGCAG